TAGACCTTAACCATTTTGAAAGGACCCAACTTATAACTTTATGATATAGTGTTATCTTGCTTTTTTTTGGAACCTAAATAAAGCTAAGTCCTTTAGTTTTTACATAATTTATAGGCATTTTTTATGTTTTCTTTATAATAGTTTAATTTATGTTATAGCATTTTCATTTAAGCAATTTTAGTTTAATTTCTTGTTAAAAAGTCCTGATTTCAGCCTTTACTTATTTACACTTTTATTGTTGAAGGTGTGCAAGGACATGGAGCTTAAATTGGTATGGTTGATGCAAGTTGGCTAGATACAAACTTCACCAAACATGCTATGGTATTTCAGAAATAACTTGAGCTAAAGAAGCTTAAATGACTTGATTCTTAGAGCATTGGAAAGCCAAGAGAAAGGGTTACAACTTTCATGTTTATCACTTCACCCAGTTTGGATTGAAACCTGGTCAAAATCACTTTACAAGGAGGTAGACCACAGTAGTTTTATACTAGGTAGCTTAAAAAGCCAAGAATACATGTCTCCCACACAAGTCAGTAAGTTTGGCGTTGTAGCACCAACATGGGGTTTTTTAAATCTACATTTCCCAATTTCTTATTCTAGGGCTTTAAATAAGGGATATAGATATAAGCCATGTTGACTAGGTTAAAAGTGTTGGAAGTAGAGCAACTTTTCCTAAGGAAAAGAACAAAAAACAAAAGATTAAAGGAAGAGAAAGAAAGGAAGTTCAAGGCTTAAAAAGCTGTAGAAAATTATATCTCTCTCTAGATTTATTCTTCTTTCACTTTTTTTTGTTGTATTTATGATTTTTTTTCTTAAAGATGATGTTTGTTGAGAATATGATGAACTTAATAGCTTTTTCTAGGATTATGGTTGATCTTTTAATGTAGTTTGGATATTTTAACTATTTTTTACTTATTATTAATATGCATTGTGTTATTATTTCAAATCTATGCTTATTGCTTCTAATTGCTTGATCAACAATTAGATTGAGTTAGGTCTCTAAATGCAGCTTGACGAAGGGAGTTTAGAATAAACCAAGGGTTTGAATAGCATGTGTTCATTTCACTTAGAGATTAGGTGATTTTATTAGTATTTAACATAAAAATATACCTAAATACCCTAATTAATTTACATAGACATATGGATAATTAATTATGAGAAATATGTTTACAAGCATCTCAACGGAGGCTTGTAGATAAATTAGGACTCTAAGCTAGCAACCAACCCATTAATTTAAGTATAAAGAGAGAGATTAAGTTCAAATGAAAGGTGGAATAATTCCACAACCCTAAGACTTAATTCCCCAATTTTTTAGTCAATTTAGCATTAACTCCCTAGTTTAGCTTCGTTACTTTAATTTCATGTTTTATTAATTTTCAAATTAGATTTACTTGGGCAAGATTAGGGTGCCCAATTTTTGTACTTAGTAAGAATTTAGACACAATTCCCTCTGGAGATGATACTTTTCTTACTACTATATTACTACTATATTACTTGCATTTGTTCTAGGGCTTCAGCAAAAGGAATATTAGTGTACAGCTTGTTAAACACATCAATAAACTTTAAGAATTTTTTGTCAACTTTTTCTTTTTCAAAACATTGAGGAAAGGTGGTGCGAGTGGTTGTGAAAGCTTTATTTTTTAATTTTCTACACTTAATTTTTCACTAGAATTTTCAACCATAACATCTTTTTCAGCATCTTTCTCAATTTTTTATTAATTTCTTTTTCTGTAACCTTAAGTAAATTTTTAGAATTTAAATTTGTACTATTTACCTCTTTTCCACTATGAAGAGTGATTACCTTATAATGCTCATTACCTTCTCCTTTTGGATTGGGTTCCATCTCACTTAATAGAGTGCCTTGAGGTCTATTGTGGACAGCATTAGCAAACTGACTCAATTATATCTCAAGAATTTTGAGATTTGCTAATTGGCTTTGGATTAATGCAGATATACTTTGAATGATAGCATCATTCTTTGCCATGTATTGCATGAACATCTCGTCCATTGTTGGCTTTTTCTCTAGCATAAGAGCTCGAGGTTGTGGTAGAAATCATAAAGGAAAATTTGGCTTAAAAGCTAATGAAGATGCTTGGTTGTTATTCTAAGAAAAATTAGGATGATTCCTCCACCTTGGATTATATGTGTTGGAATAAGGATTATTTTGTGACGGCCTATTTCTAATGAAATTGGTTGTTTCAGTGTAAATAAGACAATGGTCACTAGCATGTCCTTTCTAACATAAATCACAAGTTACAGCAAGGGCTCTGAACAACATTAGTATTCAAACTATCAATTTTCTTGGTGAGAAAAGCCAATTGTGTAGTCAAAGCATTAATTGCATCAAGCTTGTAGATACCAACAACTTTTCTTCCCTTAATTGCTCAAATGGCCATTGGTAATTATTTGAAGCCATCTCCTCTAGCAAATTATAAGCCTTATCAATGGATTTACTCACAAGTCTACCTCTAGCTACAACATCAAATGTGGTTCTAATTGGTCCCAGCAAAGCATTATAAACAGTCCAAACTAATAGCCATTTAGGTAACCCATGATAAGCACATCTTTTTAGCAAATCCTTATACCTATCCCAAGCCTCACATAATGTTTCAAAATCAAATTGCAGAAAAGAGGTGATCTCATTATGCATCATTGCTAACTTACCTAGTGGAAAAAAATTTGCTAAGAATTTATGAGTTAAATCATCCCAAGTACTAATTGAGTTAACTATAAGTGAATTTAACCAACTCTTTGCCTTATATATCAATGAAAACAAGAAAAGTTTCAATCTAATGAGGTCATTAGAAACACCATTTCTTTTGAAACTATCACAAATCTCTTAGAAATTCATAATGTGTGCATTAGAATCATTATTTGGCAATCCCCCAAATTGAATAGAAGTCTGAATCATTTGAATGATTACTGCTTGATTTGAAAATTATTGGCTTGGATGGCAGGTTTATGGATGCTAGAATGAAAGCCTTGATCAAGAAGTACAACATATTCTTGTAAGGATTTGTTTTCTTGTTCTAATTGCTCTTGAATTTGCTGATCTCTTAATCAACCATTGTTTTGAATTAAGTTGAAGCTTGCATATTTTCTTTTCAAATTGTTTGAAAAGTTTTTTCAAATTCTAGATCAAAGGGAAGAACCTATATACTTTTCACTTTTCACAAACAAAGACCGAAAGTACTTAGAAACAAAGAAAAATAAAATTTGAATCAAGACTAAGATTACTTGGTATTAACATTAACAAAGAAAATTTAAAACAACTCGTTGGCAATGACGCCAAAAATTTACTTGTAGGAAAAACCATGCAAGTGCACGTATTATTAACAAGTAATTAAATGAAAGTAAAATTCGTTTCCATGAAAAATTGACAAAATCTTTTTGCTAATTACTAAAATTAAAACAACTCAATCTTTTCCAAGCATTTAAATTTAAAACAATTGAAAAATTGAAGAAACTAAAATTGAAACTAAAACTGAACCTAAAAATATCAATGTAATTAATTAATCAATTAACCAAAAGTCTAAAACCACAATATTCCCTCAATGTTTCATCTAAATCTCTTCTATTCCCTCTTTACTTACTAGATAGGCTTCTTAAGTTAGAGTTCTAATTTAATTATAAGTCTCTTTTGATACTTTCATAACAATATCTTCAGTAATCAATTTACTAGATTATTATGCAAATTGAAATAAAAAAAGACTCATTAAGCTTAGACTCTAATCTTGACTACATATGACATGTAAGTGTATTCATCTCAAGCAATCATATTGAACATATGCTATTTCATCATCAGTTGACTCTAAAGTCCTTTTCTCAGTTCCTTTTAGGTTTACAATTTAATCTAATTAGTGGCTAATCCATCAGATGTATTAAGAACAGGATTGAAATAAATAATTCAAACATTGTCAATCAGAAGCAAGAAGCAATATTAAAAGTTTACACTATGCATTGGGTTAAATTTGTTGACTCCTGTAACACCCCGTACCCTCATATAAAAGTCAATAAGACCTTATCGATAAGACAAAGGGTCCATTGATATAAATTTAAGTGCCAAAGAGCAGTGATGGGTGCAAGGATTATTTTAAAATAAAATAATATTAAAATATTAATATTTTATTTATTGTTGAGATTAGTTATGGAAGAGGATTATATGACTAATCTAAGTGGGGGGGACAATGTAAGAAAGAATTTTGAAAAAAAACAATGCTAATTGGACCCGCGTGTCTTTATTAAATAAAGTTAGAACGGGTGTATATATTTAAATATTATGGTGATACCTTGGTAAAGTGTAAATTTTATATTTTGTTTGTACATGTGTAAAGGAAGGAAAATAGCAGGAAATTGAAATTAAATAAGTGTTGGGAGAATCAAATTGTAAAGCATGAAGGTTTAAAGAGGCAAATGGTAAATAATGAAATGTTTGAGGACTTATGTGTAATTTCAATATTTGAAGTTAAATAGACATTTACTAACCAAGGGAAGTTAAATTATGTGGAATATGAAATATACATGTGAAATCACTATTGCATGCAATTCATAGCATCCAAAAAGGAGAAGGTAGTGGGGGACATGTGGGACCTCAATCATGTGAAGTAGAAAGAAGGAAAAGACTAGGTTATTTTGCATGTAATGGGATTGGTACATTAGGTGGCCAAATAAGGAAGGATCAATATGGGATGCATGTGACTTGAATGGTGTAACAAATGGCCAATTAAAATATAATGTAAAATTTGTGCTTGAAATATCATTGGAGGAATAAGGGTGCATGGAATAAAGAAATGAAGAAAGAATGGAAAATGAAGGTGGCGGTTGGAAAAGTTTTAAAAGCTTTTGCTTTGTGATTTTAACCACATCAAAAAAAAGGAAAATGCCAAAATAACAAGCCTTGGGCAATCTGCCCATGTGTAGACAAAATGAGAAAGTGAAAGCCATTTTCAAGGCTTTGACCTTGAGACGTCCACCTATCACAAAACAAAAGGAGAAGAAAATAAACATGGAAAGTGGAGGTTCAGCCTTTAGAAGAAAATGTGAAGGAAACAAGTGAGTTCATGAGAAATCCACCCATTTGGAAGGAAAATGGAAGGGAGAGGGCTTTGTGAAGCTTTCACCCGATAGGAGAGGAAGAGTTGAGAAAGAAGAAAAGAGAAAGAAATAAAAGAAGAAAGGAGGATGAAGAAAAGAGAAAAAAAGGTTTAGCCTAGTGAACCCAAGACACGAAAGGTAAAGAGATTGTTATTTTTGTTTGAAATGCATGCTTTTTAAATCAATTGTAATGAGAGATTTTGTTTGTGGTAGTAAAGATCTACAAAGATTCAAAGGACCTGAGGCATACATGTTGGTAGATCTTGGAATGCATAGTGATTTTGGAGCTAAATAAGCAATAGGTGAGTGTTTTAGTCCTAAAATCATAAGTAGAAAGGAAACATGAGATGTATATTGATTGTCTATGTTTATGGCAGCAATGGTGACTGTAGATGTGAGGAAGTTATGAATCATATTTGGAAATTCAAGCTTGAATCGAGACGTAAGCATGCAAAGTGACTACATTGTATTGTATAAGCTTTGGTTGGTTTAAGTATATGGATTGTATGATAAATGCTTGTGAGTAATGTTGATCAAAGCTATGCGATTTAGTTAAGGATTATTAGTTGATATGCTACCATGTATAAGTATAATTAAATGTATTGGGTTTGAATTATTGCTAGGAAGAGTATAAGTAAGAAAAGTTTACCGCGGTGGTGTGCTGAAAAGGAAATGAGTGATCGGGAAGTAGAATTAGCTAGACACGTACTTGAATGAATAACGACGTAGCATCCCGCTATTGTGAGATGAGTAGAGGTTGTTTATTTTAAAATTTCATTTATTATATATATATATACGTGTTAGCTTACTTTAAATGCAAAATTATGGACAACATGAGTTGGTAGAATGTTAGGCTTATGAATGCCATGTTTGAGAAAGGTTTTGTGCATATATATATTACTACGTATGCAAAGCGTTTTGAAATCGGGAAACAAGTGTTTTACTACAGTTTATGTCAAAATATGCCTTACTGATTGTGTGATGTGCATTTATGAATGAATTTCATATTCACCTTGCTGATTTGACATCTAAAACTCGTGCAAAGGTTTTACACTACAAAGTTTTACAAAAAGGGGTTTTAACATGTTACCTTGATTGGTATTTTGGAAATGAGTTTTTGAGAATCTAATGTGATTTTTAAATGGTTTTATCAAAATGGGGGATTCGAAAGTAGGTCGAATGTGACAACGAGATAGTGTGACTCTTGTGCACAAGTGAACTCTAGCTAAAGAAGTCACCGACGGGCTGTTAGACGTGGCTAGGGCCACGATCTATGATATATGCATGGCAAAGCCACGGGTTGATATATGTGGCTAGGCCACAAGTGATATACATGGTTGCGGCCGCTTGATTTCTCCAATGTTGACCAACATTATTGAGACTGCCATGGCTAGGGGGATCCGGTGGAGCGGAGCTCTCGAATGTTATTACGTGAAAGTGGGTTCATAAGTTCTTTATTTCTATTACCTTCTCGAGAGTGATAACTCTTAGGGTTTTCAATATGTATTCTATCGCATGGTGAGAACTATAACATTTTTCGCAGCTCCCCTATTTATACTATGATGCTGGATTTAATTCCTTGCATATGAAGTGATTTGCGAATTTGTGTATAAGCTTTGATAACTCTTGGTTTTACAGGAGCATGCATGTTTATGACGAACTGGTTTGAGTAAAGTTGTTGAATGATGTCAAAGATGGAAAATCTTGTACTTATACTGGTTTGGGTACATTTACTGTTAAATGATATATTGCCCCAAAATTCCTGGTTTTACAAACAAGGCACAAATGCTTCATTTAATTATGATTGGTTTATGCATACTCTTATGTTTTAATATTCAAGTCTTCTACCATTAGCTTGTTTCCCATCTACATCCTACTCACGGAGTTGATGATCACAAAGTCTATGAGACTCACCCCCTTATTTCCTTTTACAGATAAGTAATCAGTTCAAATACATCACCTAGCACATCGAGCTAGCTGCAACGTAGGTAACAGCATCTCTTAGATTTCCACTTCGAGTCACTTCCCTACATAGTTGGATTCTTAAAATTTATTAGTTTATCAAAAATGTAACGCTAGAACTTAGAGGTTGTGTAATGAATATTAAGTGTGTTTGTATTTGACTTAAAGTTTATCGAAATTGGATATTGTCATCAGATAGTGACGTATTAATTACAAGTGTTTATTTAGCTTAAGTAAGCGATAGTACCACTATTACTGGTCAGTTTATATCCACAAAAGAATATTTAAATTAATTATCTAAAATCTCAACTAAGACTTGTTTGAGATTTGATGGGTTTACTCACAAGTCTCAGAAGTCGGTAGCAATCAGGAGAAGGTCATTACAACTCCATGTGTTTTCAATGTACTTAAGTGTGTAGGATAAACTTTAATTCCTGTAATAAATTTGATGGTTAAAGGCAACCCAAGAAGCTTACTCACTTAGAAGATGAGATAATCAATTAAAGAGGAAAACAAAAAAAGACTCAGTGAAAATAGAACATTACTATCTAATTAACATGAAGCCTTAATCAGTTAAGGCAAAACTAAGCACTATATGAAAGCAAGATAGAAAAGCCTTAATTAGTTAGTATAAGGTTTAATTAATTAAGAAAGTACTAAAAGCGAAACATAGAACCTTGCTAATCGATTAAGCAAAGGGCTTAATCAGTTAAAGCTCAAAGCTTGAAGTACTTAGAAGCACCAAAATTTAAATTCAAAGTGAAAATGATTGTTAAAGGGCATTAAAGGAGAAAAGTCAAGTTTGCAGATTTCAACCAGTTAAAAGGAGAATTAATTAGTTAAAACTAGAGGGAGAGAAGCTTCAACCAGTTAAGAGGCATATGAATCAGTTAAGAAAAGTCTAGCCAAAAACAATGCATGAAAAGGTCTTAAAATATAATTTTTTTAATTGGATAGAATTTCCTTTAACCGATTTAAATAGTGAAAAGAGCTGTCAGACAATACAAGTTAGAGAAGGTTTAATCAGTTAAAGCTTACCTTTAACCAATTAATAGAACACTGTTTTCCCATTTGAATTTAAGCACTAGAACACAAAAATAACAACTAAAACAAGGCTAGAATTGTTTCTAATAGCCAGATTCTGTCTTCAATGGCCAAAATTGATTTTTCAAGTATAAAAAGCATTCCCAATGATTAAAAAGATGTAAGGAAGCAATCTAGAGAGAAAAAGAGACAAAAATAGCTAAAAACTTCTCTTTGCAAGTGTGTTCCACTTTAATCCTTTGTAAATATGTTTAAGCTTGAATTTGTATATCTTAGATCAGTTAGATGATTATGTATACTCAATTTCTTTCTTATTTCTTAATTAATAAGAATGTGCGAGGCACTTTAAGAGTTGTTGTAAGGGTTTAGAGCTTGGGTTTGAAACTCATCATGTAAAAGCTTGGTGGAAGTTGTTAATTCCACTGGTTTAGAAGTTGGGTTGAAAATTATTGAGTGGGAGATCAAGGTAGTAGGTGTAAGTCAAGGCAACTAAACCACTCTAAATATTTATGTTTTCTATTTCTCTCTACCTTATCTTTACATGGTGTCATTTAACTTCAATAAGTTTTAAGCCATCATCATCCAATTGCACAAAAATGTCTCAAATCTCAAGAGCTGATTTTAAAGTGTCTTTTAAGTGCTATTGACCACAACTTTAAAGGCTTAAGATCTTTATGAGAGATCCAATGGCTTTGGAAAAATTTTGTGTTGTTGGGGGATAATCCGTAAATAGGCCTCCTCTAATTGATGGATCAAATTACATATATTGGAGCACTAAGATATCTATTTACATTAGTGCTGTAGATTATGAGATGTGAGATGTAATCACCTAAGTTCGTTATGTTCCCACTAGTATGAGCCTTATCTCAAGTGAGAATCTTCCTAAAGTTAGAGAAGAATGGACTAAAGCAGAAATGAGAAAAGTCCACATAAATTTCAAGGCCATTACAAATGTTCATTTTACCTTAACCCATGTTGAGTTCAACAAAATTTCAAGTTGTACCACAACCAAAGAAATTTGGAAAAAACTTAAAGTCATTTATAAGGAGACTTTTCAAGTTTAGGGTTCCAAAATTGCTTTTCTCACCCATAATTATGAAATGTTCAAAATGGAATCAGGTGAAGATATCACTACCACATTTGATAGGTTTACTAATATTACAATCAAGTTCAATCAACTTGGCAAATCTACCCCTAAACATAAGTTAGTAAAAAGGCTACTTAGATGTTTACCAAAAAGCTAGAAACCTAGAGTCAATACTATTCAAAATGCCAAAGATCTCAATTCAATCACCTTTGATGAAACTTGTGAGTCTTTTCTTACACATGAGCTGGAGATGAAAGAAGAAGAATAAGAAGAAAAAAAGAAAAAAAATAAAGAGAAAAAGAAAAGCCTAGCCTTAAAAGTAAGTACACTTGAGGAAGAACTAGAAAATATCTCAAGTGGTAAGGATGTAGAGCTGGCAATGACAACTAGAAGATTCTCAAAAGCTCATAAGGTAAAGAGATTGAAAATTTGGAAATAGCAAGGGTCTTCATGGAAATACCAACATAAAAATGACTCTTACTAAAAGGATGAGGTGGTGTGCTTTGAATGCAAAAAACCTAGCCCTTCGAATTAGAATGCTCATTGCTTAAGGAAGATCCCTTAAAGGAGATTAAGAAGCCAAAAAAGGCAATGGTGGCTGCTGTGTGGTGTTGTTGATTTCCACGCAAGTACACACATAGCAAACAAGTATATAGGAGAAAATAAAATTCGTTCGCGCAAAGAATTAAATTAATTCTTAATGTTAACTACTGAAATTAACACACCTTAATTGTATTCAAACAACCTAATTTTAAAAATTATTAAAAAAAATAAAACTAACAGCTAAAAGTAATCTAAAATCAATTAGTAAAATTACTTTATTAAATTTGAGTGACTATTAGACCTAGCATTGTGATATCCCTCAATACTTTATCTAATTATTATCTCTATTTTAACTTAGTTTAAGGGAAGTTGCTAACCTAGAGTCCTAAATTATTTACTGGTTTTACTCGTATTTCTTATAAAAATATCTCTCCCTACTAATTTACTATATGTTTATGCAAATTATATTGAAGGAATATTCATTAAGTTCGTGCTCTAATTATGGCTAAGTATGGCTTATAGATGTATGTCTATCCTATATGCAAATCAAATCACCTAATCAACTAAGTGTATTCAATCATGCACTATTCTATTCAAGGTTTACCTAAATTTCCTTCATCAAGGGTTAACTTAAGTTTCCAATTCAATCTATTTGATGGCCAATAAATTAGAAGCATTAAGAAAATAATAGAATAAATAACTTAAAACCATCAAATAGAAGCAAAAGTGAGATAAATAGATCAGACTACGTATTGATTTCAATCATAATCTTAGATAAATAATTTAATTCCTCATCAAGTCATGCATCATCATCAAAGTAAGTTTAATCATCAAAACCAAAAGCAAGAAAATAAAAGAATAACAGAAAGATAAACGAACACAAGAATTGCAAACAAGATCTCCAAATCTTCTTGAATCCTCTTGATTTCTTCTCAGCATCAATGAGACTTTTTTTCCAATGATGTTGTGGCTTGAATCTCATTTCTCAATTTGATGTTTCCTTATGTCTCCAAAAGTCCTTCGAAAGGTTGTTTTTGTAGGTCTTTGAAGTTAGGCCAAGTTTGCTAAAGAAAGAAATGATTTCTAACTAGGATTTCCTCATTAGACTACGTAAGCCACGGCCTCGACCATTTTAATTAGCAGAAATCGTAATTGCTCTAGGGCTATTGTAGTGCTTTAACTTCGACAAGAGTTTTGATCACCTTTTAGACCGAATTGGATGAAGCGGGAAATATAA